TGACAATTTTCATGGCTTCCAAAAAATCCAAAAAACCTGCAAAAAACAAAATTTTAAAATCAACCATATTCCACACACAAAAATATGCAAATGACTTTTGATTCAATAATACACTTTTTTTCTAATTCAGTGGAAATTAGCTTCATTTATTGAACATGACTTATGCACTTCTGCGGTTCTGCACTGTGATTGGAATATGGAAGGACCGAAAGAGTTACTAAAATTAATTGGAATAGGCGGATATATTGTATATTTACTAAAAAAATATTAAAAATAATATTAGTATTTAAAAAACGGTCCGGTCCGGGTCCCAAACAATTTCAAAATGAGGAACCGGACCGACCCTAAAATATATAGGAACCGGACCGACCCGGACCGTTTTAAATTTTTGAAAAGACGACCCGGACCTAACTCGGCCCGAACCTGGCGGTTCGGTTCCGACCCGCGGTTCCTGGACCTGAATGCCCACCCCTAATTTCAACATTGCTTTACTTAAGTGTTCAAATGTGCTCCAATTACGTTCACATCCAGAGGAAGTGCAACAAAGTCCAACCATACGTTTTGCAAGAGCCTGGATGCACTTAGGCCTTTTGACTTTTGTTGGTTAATTGCAAGTTTTGCAAAACTACCTCATAATTTGTCATATTGGGTCACCTGAACAATTATTTTTCCTTGTAAAGGCATGTCACTCCATCACATCATTGAATATCATTCTATGAGAAAAGCTGCAATAGCATCTTTTTGCTTAAGATAAAAATATTTGGAAAGATTTAAAAAAACCGTTGAAGATAAATTCCCTCCCATTTGGTTTGCCCACCCATTCTCAATGATCTCCCTAACTTTTCTCAATCTTGTTGGCTTAGCTTGTAAAGCATTTGTGATATTGCTTTTAGCTACATCCATAGCCAACAAAAGTTCTGGCATGGCTTTTCACGAGCATCAACAATCCTCAGTACCAACAAAAGTAGAAAAAAATAATGTCACTTCCTCTCTTCCCTATCTCTGTCGCTAATTGTCTAGATCGACTCTAATCTTTACTGGCAAATAACATGTTCAACACATCTTTAAATTTATGAAGACATCGCAAAATGAGAAAAGTAGTCGCAAATCTAGTGACTAGGGGTCTCACAAGGTCTCTACCATTTGTTTTCTCCCTCATCGCATGCAAAATCTTCCTATGACAATAGATAAAAAGTCATGATGCACTTAACTCTTCCAATTATAGACTTGAAGTTAGAAAGTTTGCCTATATCTACAAACATAAGATAAATACAGTGTGCTAGGCAAGAAGTAAAATGATATGGGACTATTCTCTCCTGCAACATTGTTCTCTATTTGTAGACTTTGAAAGCCTGGAGGATACTTGTAAATGTTGATCATGATTTAGGTTGTCCACAGAATGTTGCATGCAAATGCAATCAAGAAATTTATACTAGAATTGAAATATTGAAACTAAGAACATACATCTTTGGCAGCGGTTCATACTCTGCAATAGATTGACTTAATACTACATGCACTTTATACATCAAGGCCATTAATGAAGATGGACAAGTTGGTATATGATTTCAAAAGTCAATTTAAAACTAGAGATTAAGGATATGGAAAAAGTTATTTCCTCTAGTTTAGAAGGCGCTGCAATTGCAATCCTATATTCAGGGACCCCTTTCAAAGGTATAATCATTATGCTATATTTATTTAATGAAATTAAATTAATTGATGGTTTGCTTTTTTTGTACTAGTTGTTTCCATCAAAGTTTACAAAATTTTTCCACAAAAGAAAAAAGTTTTCCTGCCCTTCATTATCACTGTCATTTGACTACGTATCAAGAAAATTAGGCTTTGTTTTTTTTCAAAAAGAAGCTAATGAAAAATCATTATAGACGCGAAATCACAGAAAACTTGTAAGTTGTTTGAAAATTTTGTAAGTTGCTTGACTTTGTTATTTTTAAGCTCTTATAAGGTATTCTAAGAGGCTTTGTTTTTTGTATTGCAGATTGGAAAAGCTAAAAAACAAATCCATTGGAATGCCAATTGATTTTCGTAATCCATTGATGTGCTTGAAGGAGATACGTCTTGCACAAGGTTGATACCCAATGTGGGGGTAGTACATCAAGTCATTAATTTGGCAGTCTTACATTGGCCGAGAACCGTTTCCAACTTTATCACGGTTAATGTGGTTGGAATAGAATACATCAAGGAAAGAATACTTTCATTTTTATAATGTAGAAAAAATATTTTCATTATAAAAATTCAAGTATTCTTTCTTTGATGTATTTCATTTTTTCCACATGAATAATAGCAAGTTGGGTTCTTGACCTATGTAAGACTGCCAAATTAATGAGTTGATGTATCCCCCACATACGGGTAACAACCTTATGCAAGATTTATCACCCTTTCAATCATGTCATTACATGACCAAAATCGATTGGCACTCCAACGGATTTATTTTTTAACTTTTCCAGCCTGCAATACAAAAAAATAAAAAACAAAGTCTCGCTGAATAACTCACGTGAGCTTGCAAAGAACAGAGTAAAAAAACTTAAAAAAATTTCACCTGATTTATAAATTTTCTGTGATTTTGCGTTCATAATGGTTTTTGATAAGCTTCTTTTAATAAGCAAAAAACAAAGCCTTATTTTTTTCGTACATGGTTAAATGAGAGCGGTAATGAAAGGTAAGAAAACTTTTTTCCTTTATAAAAAGGCTCGTGACAGCTTTGATAGAAGCAACTAATACAAAAAAAACAGAAATTAATTTAATTTAATAAATAAAATATAAAATAATGATTATACCTTTGAAAAGAGTCCTTGAAAATGTGTTTGTAACTACAACGCAATCTAAACTAGAGGAAACAAATCTTTCCATATTCTTTATCTCTAGTTTTAAATCGATTTTTGGAATCATATACCCTACTTGTCTATCTTAATTAATGGTCTTAATATCTAGAGTGTGTGTAATATTAAGTCAATCTATGGCAGGATATGAACCACTGTCAAGTGTGTATATTCCTGATTTCAACGTTTCAATTCTAATAGAAATTTTTCAATTGCAATTGCATGCAACATTCTGAGGACAACTTAAATCATGATCAACATTTACAAGAATCCTCAATGCTTTCAAAGTCTAGAAAATAGAAATATCATGGTTATTCTTAGAATTGGAAAAAAGACGAAAAAGAAATAAATATTAAGTGAGTAGAGGTCATGATCTCACAAAAATTACTCTATGAAGTATGAACATCATCCCATAGGAACCACCCTAAACGGAAATTACTCTACTAGCATTATCTCTCAAACAGAAATGACTCTACTACCTGATCTCTCAAATAGAAATTACTCTACTAGCATGATCTCTCAAACAAAAGTTACTATACAATGTTTCATACATGATCTCAAAATAGAAATTAATCTACTAGTGTATCTGACTAGAATATGACATAATCTAAAACAAAAATTACTCTACTACCATGATCTCAAATAAGGATTGTTGCAAGTTCCTTGACTAAGCCAATTCCTGGAGATGCTTTTTTGACTCATGTGAAAAGTCATGGTTTGGGTATGATGTAGTCTTTAGATTGTGATTTTATGTTGTAATGGGAGATTTTGTATTGGAGGTGAAAAGAAGTTGTTATTCATTTCCCTTTGAGTATATCGTAAATTTATGATAAGGCATGTTGTGTTGTCACCAAGCTTTTTTATCAACCTCTTCAAATAGGTGATCGCCCTAACACATAGAGTAGTGTGTAGGATGAGACTTGGTCATATTGACATTGAGTGTGTGCATTAAGGACCACCATACTTATGTGTTATATATGGTATTCTCATATTGTCGTCTTCGTATGTCTAAGATGAGACTGGTACATGCTTCTTAATTGTTGTGAGGCGGAGAAAGTTGGCCCAACTACATGCCCATTATCCACATCTTACTATTTTAGTGAACAGACAATGTTGAAAATTGAAATAATCAAGAATTTTAATTTACTTTGGAGTCAAAATTTTACCAAGTGCATAAAAATGAAGAATGAAGAGTGCATATTAGGGTTGTGGTTAGGTCATGAAGATTGAAGAGTGCTCCTCTCGTAACTAATTCTTTGAGTCAAAATAT